AATCCTACAAGAACTGGTAACATTTTCAGTGGAACTGATTTGCAAATCTGTGGGCCGATGCTGGCCCTGAGCCTCCTTTGCTGCCTCCTGAGGATGCTCTTGTGCTTCTTCTCCCACGGAGGACACAAGCCTGCTCACTCTAATTACAGTTCCTGCAATGCCACACTGTGTTTTGGGCAGGCAGGTCCAAAGTACTTAGGGGATTGTGTCATGCTTGATCTGAACAGCAAATTTGATCAGATAAAGCAGTACAAACCACACAGCATAGTTACAATTCAATTTCTGTAACGTCTCTCCATGAGTAGACAGATGAGTCCTGACTCCTCTGAATTTCTGCAGTAAGTTTATTTTCTGGATCGCTGCAAATTCTGTAAATATAACAACTTTGGTACAAGTGGCCTTATTAAAAAAATAAACACAGCAACCTTCAAAGGCAAGCCTTAATCAACATCTTCGGTCTGGTTACTTCTATGAGCAGAACTTCTGAAGGACTAACCCAAAAAACAAGTAGAGGACCTTTCAGTCTTGCTTGTGGGAGTAAGTCCTGATGGCTGGTAATTTCAGCCTTCAGAATCACTTCTTGTTTTTTCCCCCCTTGGATCTTCTAGATATTTTAGATTAAGGAAAACCCTTTTTCTTTTGTAGCTCTTAAAAATGTGTAAAGGGTGATAAGCCCCAAACCCAAACTGCTACAGTGCAGCTTTGGTGAAGATGCCAGAGGGACATTATGTAAAACTCTGATCATACAAGTCAGCTTTTTTGTCTGCTGAACAATGAAATCCTAAAATCAGCTGCCTGGACTGACACAGAAGATTGAAAACTATCCTACAGATGAGGCCAGGGTATCACTGCCTATCAGAAAGGCAGGGAGTTGTCCTGCTGCTGCAACGAACTTGGGAGGTGGGAGACCACTCACTTTACAAGAATCCTGAAAGTTGCTTGGTACGAAAGGAGGTAGGGAGTAAGCAGGGCAGGCATGAAAGACATAAAAAGCAGAAACCAGTAACTCTATCACATCAGCTGGAGATGCTCCCCAAACAACTGTCAACAGGCAGCTGGTAGGGCTACAGCAGAAACAGTAATTCAGTGATATCAAGTGTAAAGACAGGAACAGATATAGTCCAAGACAGTTCAATGGAAGCTGACTGACAGACCAGCCTCACTACAGACCAAGACCACATTCTCTACAAGCTCACCACCTTAAACAAATTTATTTTCACCATGGTATGGGATTAATAACAGTATTGTTTTGCAAACAGATTACTGAGGAGCAACAGGACTAACCTACCATCAGGCCTCAGTGACTGCACGACCTCCTCAAGTCCCAGGCTAACCCTGCCTACAGAAACGCGGCAACCGGTTCCCAGAGATCAGCTCTGGAACACTGAAGCTGAGATCTGCAGCACTGCTTCTGCTCCAACAGATAATAAGTCCAACCAGACAAGAGAATAACTTCAAACACCACCAACAAAAAGAACAGCTTCTTAATACCCATTAAATATACACTAAATATAAACTAAAAAATACCAGGACGGAAGAAGTATGACGACATCTTAAGACAAACTCTTTGAAAATAAGTTAATCCTTCCAAATAAAAACATAAGCTTATTTTGTACCTCAGGAACAGATTTAACACTGATAGGACTTGGAACTACTCAAATGATTAACATTTTAAGTTATATACTCTTTTTTCCAAGGCAGTGCAAGAAGCTGAATTGCAGCAGAAGGAAAGAATCCTTGGTGACATCTATCTGTAGATTTGGTCCTTAACTACCAACAGGAGATGGATGAGAAGGTGCTACTCCCAGTCCACCTCTTAATTAGACTGCACGAAGCAATGCAAAATTTGAATTCCAGCAGGTCATTTCCTACCTTGCCAAGCTACATTACTTGGCAGAGAAGTGATGCAATAAGAAGTCATTACTCAAGAAAATGAAATCCCATTTATTCACATGGCCTTGAGCATACTAAGTTATGCAATTTGGAGATTCCTATGCAATGTGACATAGATTTGTACGTATTTCTCTTTCTGTATTGTTTTTAAATGAACATCTTGAAAACAAACATAAAATCCAAGCTCATTAACACATTTGGCTTCTTTTTAAACTAGTCATTCCGAATTACCATCCTCAGATATGCAAGTATTCTTCTTCTTCTCACACTGTGAGATATGGGTGAAAGGGCAAGTCACACAATACAATTAAAAACAAAACACTGACAAATTCAATGGGTTTAGAGTGGGGTTTCTTGATACAAAGTTCCAAAACAAACAAACAACAAAAACAGCTACTACATTTGGTCTTGTTCAAGAAGTAATATTCAAAAAGACCTCGTTCAAACAAAGTTGCTTTGCAGATTAACATTTCTGAAAGTGTAAAAAATCCCCTTTTTGTCTATCTCATTCTTTAAGGTCACTAAATCCAGACCATCTGGATAATAAAGTTACCAACTTAGTTCCCTATTTATCTAATTAAAACTTCTGTACAGCTCATATGGAAAATTTGTCTACGGCTAAAAAACAACTGAAGTGTAAAAAGCAGCTGCAGGGAAATGATGTCACTGCAGGCAGAGCTGCCTGTCAGCACACTGGCACCAGGAAGATCCTGAGTTATTGTTAATCTCAGCTTTTGAGCCAAGTATCCTATTTGGAAAAACAAAACAAACACAAAAAAACCCAAAAACCAAAACAATTCTACTCCCCCCCCCCCAAACCCAACTAAACAAACAAACACAAAACTATATGGGCCTTTTAGCCAAATTCTACTCTCATTGAAGCATCAGTGGTAAATTTTCAGGAAGATTATGACTTCAAGACCGGTATTTTGTATCAATTTTTTTGTACAGAACTGGTTCATTTTTATCAGTAAGGATAAAAAGATGAACCTTTCCCCCACCAAAAACACAAGCAGTAAAACTATGCAAAGCAGACTCTTTTCTTTCACACACAGAGACCCAGAGGACTTGGTTTACATAATTTTGATTGTTACATATGTAAATGTAGGTGATGAAAAGATGGACATTTTTTCAGTCCAGCAGGTAGCTCCTATTTCCACAACCATCACAATTCTGCTGCCAATGGGTAGTTGTTGCCAGTAGTTATTTCTATTTTACAAGCCAGTTAAGGATATATTCTCATAATTTTTTGCTCTATAGGGTCATGCACTCTGTTATTTGGGCCAAAGACAAGAGAAGTGTTCTCCCTCTTTCCAGGAGATCCTTCCCCATCAGAAGGAAACAGGGAACAGACACTACTTTTGGAATCCTAAAGGACAAGGATTCAAGTGCTCTGGGTGAAGTTCCCAAGCAACGCTCCAGCAGGTTACAGCTCTGCATCCAGATCTGTGACAAGCCAATTCCCAGTATAACCCATTTGCAATAACTGAGCATCACCTTCCACTTGTAGTGTCTTCTGTCCCTCAGAAATCAAGGACTGCTTCCCCTCCACTCTTACAGAAAGAGGCATTTGCAAAATGAACAATAAAGACAACTGCCAATGCTTCTTTAAGATGTTACACTCCTTCCTTATCAGTAAAATATCATCAGAAAATAAACGCTTCCCTACAAATTTTGACAGAGATTTAAAAAGTTCCCTAAAATTCATGTCACAATATATTAGGATGAAAGAATGTAAAAACCGTAACATATGCTTATTTAACTAGGTGCATTCCAAACAAAACACTATTTCATAGCACATACACTTCTGCTAGATCTGAATTATAACACTGCCATAACCTAGAAACGAGTTTAACAAATCGTTATACACAAACACTGTGAGTAATGCACTAATGTTAGACAAAACAGCTCTTCACAGACAATTTCAGACTCCTTATACATATTTCTATACACATGCACACATGCTTAAGAGTATATCATATTTAATTTTTAATGGAAATGTGTGTATATATACATAGAATTCAAAATTCAACTGCTACCTCTTTGTATGACCCTGATGTCCCAACTAAGTGTTAGTTTTGGTGCTGACAACACAATGCCATAATGCAGACTCAATAAAGTGACCCTATATTTTCTCCACAAACCTATCACACAGACTGCCTCAAAATCCTGAGCCTACAAGTCTATTTTAAAACTAAATCTTTGACTACGTATTGTTGATATATAAGAGCAATGAGCAAACTACGAGTGGTTTGTAACCAAGCTCAATTAACTTACGTGGTGAGAACACACTCCCTGACTGAAAGCAGTCACTAAACATCAAACTGTAATAAAAAGATTCAGCAGTAATGCAGAGTACACTCTTCAAAACTAGTGAAAAATGTATTTTCATTAAATATGTGAGCAAACTTCTCCAAAACATCTCTCATTGTTTTACTCGCACTTTTCATGTCACTTCAGCCCACTTGAACTTAAGCAGTGCGTGAAATTATCTCTTTTCTTATAGCTGTTCACGTTTTTCCCTGAGTAATTAGCAAGCTACATCCCCTTTGACAGAGGGACACTAACAAGCTCCTACAGTTTCCAGTAGGACAAGGAATCCAAAGCTACTAATAGCAAACAAGTCATTTAAACAAAAAAGGATTACAAAGACCCGTTGCAAGAGGCTGGAAACTCACCCATATTTCAGATTAAGGTTTTCTGAGGAGCTCTTTTGTAAAGAGTTTTGACTCCATCTTACAAAAATATTTCATTGTTTTTCTTTTAAAAACCAAAATATTGGTTTGGATATCTACTAATAACTTCTTTTTGAAAATAATTACGTACTAGAAAGACTGAGAAGTGTTTTCCAAAGGGAAAATGACGGAAACATTCATTTTGTAACAAAACCCCCCTCCGGACATCTCACAGTTCAAAGAAAACAAAAAGTTACACAAACTTTTTAAAAAAGGTTTTTCCATTCTTTGCTATCAGGACACCAAAACAAGCTGCAAGTCAAGCCAGAGCGCAGAATATTTGCAAAATTTCCTTGCCAAAAATCCCTGGAACCACGCAAATAAAGAACGTTCGGATGAGCGCAAGCTCCTGAGAGGAAAGGCAGAGCGTACCTTGAGGACCTCCATGGGCACCTGGGTGGCGGGGGGCAGGCTGGTGGGCACGCTCACGTTGATGGCAGGGGTCTGGCTCACGGGCACCCGCTGCTGCATGAACTGGGCTGCTTGCTGCTTCTGCTGCTGCTCCCGACGCTCCTGCTCCTGCATCTGCTCACGCATGAGCTGCTGTCGTAGCAGGATTCGTGAGGTCATGCTGGAGGAGCTTAAGGGAGGCTTGGAAGCGCCAGGATGCTCGGAATTGCTGTGGGAAGACCAGAGAAAGACAGCTCAGCTTCCACCAAGCGGGATGGTGGCTCCAGCGGTCGGAGCCTGAGGAGTTAGACCGGGGCGTGGGTGAGGATACGACGCACCGCGCGAGGGGGAACTCGGAGCCGACCTACTTGAGGTACTTAGCGGCCACATTAGGCTGCCTTAACTTGACTGCAGCCAACCACTTCCAAACGCCAACATCCAGCTGTAAAGAGCTATTTGCTCTTTCAAATTTTGCACTAACCGCCCACAAGAAAAAACAAATGCTTTAATAGACAAGGGAAGGCACTCGTATTCCTTTTTCTTAAAAAAGTAATAAAGAGCTGCCTGCAGCAAGTCTTATGATAGGTGTAGATAATACTCCAGGTCTAGCTCAAAAATAAATAAATAAAGTAAATCTACCTCTCCCATGAAAACACAACATAACAAAGTTCACTTATTTTTGCGAAATACTGCCTTGGGGTTGGATTTGCTGGAGGTGACACACTTCTGAGCCAGAAACTAGACCTCCACAAAAAGACTCAACTCCCACCCCAGGCCTACCAGCATCTTCCAAGCGGAGTGACATACAAGAACAGGCAGAATAAACAACAGTAACAGCTTTATTCCAGTCATACTTTATAAAGAGCAACAGTCTGGCACACAGCACTGCCCTAACACCTAAGGGCTACCTCTATGCCATTGGCAGAGCTTGGAACAGACCATTGGACTTTGACATGGACTGCAGGGACACCTTTTGAAGCAACTCATCCTTTTCTTAGCCCTCAGAACCAAAATTCATTCCTGTAGCGTAAGGCAGAACAATTAGGGTATGCAAACACCAATCTGCACATCCTTCAAGGGAAGGATGTTGGAAGTGGGTAAGAATACATGACTCCACATAAGAAAGAGCTAAAATGTGCATAACTCAGCATATTTGGGTTCAGATTCTGCTGGCTGCTGTCAGCCCATGGAAGGACAGGGCTCATCAGGCTGTCATGATGAGGGTCATGCCAGCAGTAACCCTCCCACTCTAGAAGGAGGCTGCTCTTGAAAACCCCACCTCTGGCTCCAGTGCTTCGGTGGTACCTGCAGGATGCTGGCAGGACACAGGAGTGTGGGAGCCAACATCCCTTCCAGGTCTTGTTTGGAGGCCGTGGGTACCGAGCGCTGCTTGTGCTTGGGCAACTGGAGCCAGCACTGCTGGAAGTTTTCCAGCTTTGTTTAGGACTGATGTTGAATACAGTTCAGGGTAGAAACAAAAAAAAAAAGGAGAACCCACACTTACTGCCCCAAGAGATCAAACTCTGCTCTTCCAGAGCACACATTTTGGGGGCAGGGAGGCAGGGGACCATCTTGCTATTTAAGACCTGTCAGGTTGAAACATTCACAGAGACACTGATCCTTTTGATAAAACAACTAATGCAGCTGCGGAATAATCGTACTAATTAGCTGCTCAAGACAAGTCATTGACTGTGATACTTGTAAAAAACACTCCCTTTTTCAATTAAGGGTGAAGCATTCTCACATCTAAACCCAGCAGCTTGTTTTCTGGCTGCACATCTGAACCACTTTTACATCTCCAAACAGAGGAGACACTTTATTTCCATGACTACGATAGTTAGAGATCAGTGGCCTTCTAATTTTTTTGATTACACATTCCTAACAGGAATGTTTGAGCATGCACTCCCAATATATGTATATTTATTTATTTATGAATTATATACAAGTATTACTGAAGCGATAATATTTTCCTCCTGCCAACCACTGTGCATCCCACTATGGAGACTACTGTAACACCTGAGCAAAAAAAGGCACTCAAATGTTGCTTTCAAGGAAGGATTCATTGTCCTCATGTTGAAGAGAAGTGAATTATGTATCACACTGAACAGTGTTCTCATTTGTGTGCTACTGGCATTTTTTACAGATATTTAATGCTGCAAAATTGGTAACCCAGCAGTTCCTCCCACCTTCTTTCATTTTGAACTGTTTCTCCGCCAACCAAAGCCAAGTGTGCTGGAAACCATCTCAGAAGAACCTTCCCATGTACTGAAATTTTGGGGAATGCGAGGGAGAAGGAAGGAGAAATAATTTCCACTGCATTTTGAACAGCCCCTGCCAGGAACCTGATCTCACTCACACAATTATTGTACCTGCTCAGACCAACAACCGTCCCTCCAGGTTCCTGATGGTGATTCAGGGCTCTAGCACTGATTGAAAATTGTCAACAAAAGCTTCAAGTATCGTGTCTTTGAAAGAGACAACAGTCCCAGAAAATGTTGTTCTACCAAATTCTTCCCCAAAGGGCAGAGACACTTCCAGGTTTTATTTCTTTTGCAATTCTGCTCAGTATTTTACAGGGTATAGAGGCCCACAAGCCCTGAACGCAGGCAGTGCTGGTAGGCACGTGCTGCCAGACTGCAGTTACTGCCAAAGAACCATGAAATTGTTTAGGTTGGAAAAGATCTCCAAGACCATAAAGTCCAACCATTAACCCAGCACTGCCAAGTCCACCACTAAACTCTGTCCCGAAGAGCCACATCCACATGTCTTTGGTGACTCTATCACTTCCCTGGACGGCCAGTTCCGGTACTTGACAACCCTTTTGGTGAAGAAACTTTTCTTAATATTCAATCTAAGCCTCCCCTCACACAAGTTGAGGCCATCTCCTCTTATCCTATCCCTTGTTACCTGGAAAAAAGAGATGGGCACCCAACGATCACACCATCAATGCAGGTGAGTTCGAATGCCTGGCTTCCCTTCTCCACCATGTCTGCTCCTCTTCTCAAGCACAGAACACTCCGAGGTGGAACAGAAGATAGTCTGGGTTTCATCACCATATACCCTCCACAGAGCAAACAGTAGGTTTGCCAGAAACTCACTTTTCCAATCAAAGAAGCGATTAAAGACTTGTTATTTCAAAGGCTTCATCAGGAGAATTTTGAAAATGCATCTTTTTAAAGCTTCTTGACCTCTACATGCTGCCTCACAGGCAGATCCCCTCCCATGATCAAGCTCTGTGCCACGTGCCACAGTGCAACCCAGAACTGGACATGTGGATTCAAAACTCCCATCCATGAACTGATTCACCCCCAGACCACGCAGAGTTGGTAACAGAGCCCACACACGCAGCTGATACACGATGTGATTTAGATACTTCCTGCAAACAGTTTATGGAAACCATCTAATTGCAATAAATGAAACCGACTCATCCCTTTAATTGACACATGATTAAACCAGTTATCCATTAGCAGTCTAATAAGCACAGTGTAATACAGACTGGGAGTTATTACTTATGTGTCATGTGCCGATCCAATTAATCCTGAAGTGATAACATTTTATTAAATGAGTTTAAATTACATATCCTTTGCACAGATGCCTGGGAAATGTTAGTTACTGCACACGAATTATAACACAGGTGTTGCATAATAAAAGGCAACTGATCAGATTAAAATCAAGTTTGATTTTGTTGCCATCGACTCCAGAGATTAGAGGGACCATACCTCTTACAGCCCACTCTACCTTCCCAGATATGTACTGATTATTTTATCTGCCTCCTTGGGCAAAAAGACAAACTCATCTTTTGTTGGCTAGTTTTGGTTTTGGATTCCTATAAATTGATCAAACCAGCTCTCTGGTTCACATACAGTATTTAAACAAGTTGTCTGGTTCACAAGTATTATTTTGCAACAGCTACATATTTGCTAAGAAACTTCTCTGGTGATTTTGAACTCGAAAAAATATTTAACTCATCTTTGCTTTTTAACTGCCATTAAAAAATTATTTCAGAAAAAAAGAAAAGCCTCCAATGTAAGGTTTCTTAGACAAATTACAATAATTAAAGCACAGATAAACCCCTCAAAACCCAGACCTCCTCAACCAGAGATTGACAAGAGTCAAACAACAAAAAAAAAAAGGCAAAAAAAAAAAAGCCCACTTGCTTTGGGCAGGATGTACTACCCTGCTCTAAACAGAGAAATGGCATACAAGAGGGAAGCTGCTGCTCTCCTCCATTCATGCCAACTGTTTGTTAATGGGGTAGTCCACAGAGAAATCAGCCAAGTAAAGCAGATTTAGCACCTCAGGAAATCCACTGAGCTGTACCAGATCTCAGAAGAAATAACACGGGATTTAAAGCCCTGTGTTAATTTCTTACCCTTATGTCATTCATAATTATTTATAGAGAAAAGAAAGGCATCCACATTTAAGTATCCAACATTAGCATAAAACGGTCTTGATCTTTAAAGCAAGCAGATGAGAGGTTGCCAATGCTACAACTCTAACACTTGGTTGGACCTCCAGAAGGCATTTTCAGAAGAGATCACCCCACAGCTCCCCTTCCAACACTCCTCCTGTTCCACAACCACTAGAGTTTTCTCAAAAATTAAGTTGATTTGTCCAAATTCTGTTTTCAACCAAGCAGTAAAATGTCAAGTAACTTTTTATTCCCTGTACTAAATATGTAGCTGAGGCAACAATGCTTGCAGCAGCATCTAACTTGCCAGCAAGCACCACTGTTTGCCTCACAGAGGGGTGACAGAAAAGGGAATACCAAAAGAAAAAAATAAATGCAAAGAGGACCCAGATTACACACACCACACCACCCCCCAAAAGAAACTATAATACAAAATGCAGAAAGTCCACAAAGAACAAAAATGTTCTACACAATCCCTTCTCCCCCATCCTCAGCCAAGGTAAGGGATTCCAACTACAGCATTTTCCCTGGAGCACTTTGTACTTCATTCCTAACATTTAATAATTGATTGTGGGTTACAGCGACGCTCCGCTCACCGCCAACTGCCTGGCACTGCTCGAAGTATCAGCGCAGAAAAAACCAAGCCCAAGAGTTGGCACCTTTGTATGCCCTGACTTGCCAAGGACAGAGCAGTTACAAAAACGGCGCAGAGACCTTTATCAGCCCTTATAATAAAGCCAGGACCACGTTTCAGGCTTCTACATGAAATGTTTCTGCACTTGAAGGTTACATGTTTAAAGAGACAGGCTGCATCTGCT